ATTCTCCTCTAATTTTTATGTATTTTAAGAAAGAGATGCATTAATATCACATGTTTATCAACTTAACAACTTAATCAACCTGCATCATACAACTTTACTTAACATACAACTTTCTAGCATAAACATCATTATACAACATATCAACTTACATCATAATAATTCATCATCATATCATCTTCATAAAATAAAATAATATATAAAATTTTCATGCCATTTCATATTTTAATAGTTAGACCAAGTCATTAACCATTTTTTGGTAGACAAAGTCATATACTTGGTTTTGAAAATATAAAAAATTCAACTATTAATTTTTAAATTATTAATCATAGCACTTTATTTATTAACGTATTTGTTAAATTCATAATTTGATGTTACTACTTTTTACTTTTTAGCCAATATAATGTTACTATTGAGTACATTTTGATTGTTTGGGAGTGGGGGGCCAATATGATTGGGTGTCAAATGACAACACGAAAGGGCTTCATAGTTACGCTAATGGTCCCTCCCAACTTGAAAGGACTTGTCATCACCTATCAACGGATTGTGAATTCATGGGCTTAATCATTGGTGTCAATTTTCTGTAGTGATTATTATCAAGTAGAGCCAAAATGTGATACAAAGTCTGCTGGGAAAAATAATTAGTGGGAGAAAAGTAGAAAACTATTAGTTGGTTTTTAATTATACATAAGGGTGGGAAAAATTCTTTTGTTTCTTCACAAATTAAACTGTTTGATGGGCTTTGGACAAATTCCTTCATTTATGCAAGGCCATTGACAAATGTAATGTAGGAATCAAATTCAGAGCAGACACACACTACTGACAAAAGATGGTTATGTAAACATTTTCATATTGAGAAAAGGAAAACAAAAATAGCAATGATTACTTAATAATGTCGTAATGTATTTGGAGCAAAACATTAATAGTGTGTTTGGATGGAGAATTTACATGGAGTAATTCATTTATTTGAAGAATTTCAATTTCTTTGAGGTAAAATACCTTGTTTGGATGAGGAATTTATAAGGAATTTGAAATTCAAGCATTTGTGAAATTTCTTGAAATAGTAGAATTTCAAATTCTCCCAAAAGAGTAAGAATTTGAAATTCCTCATACCATTTGTGAAATTCCTTGAAATAGTAGAATTTCAAATTCTCCCAAAAGAGTAAGAATTTGAAATTCCTCATACTTTTATCTTCTTACTTCACTTATATATTTTGTCTTATCTCTTATCTCTTCATGTTTTTAATTATTGAATATTCAAAAATATATTTAAAATTATTAAATATTATCTACTATTAATTTTTAAAATTATTAAATATTTAAAAATTAGCTAATATTTATTTTTTTAAAATTTAATTTAAAAATCTCAACATATAAATATATTTTTAAAATCAATTTTATCATGGTGGAATCAAATTATCATATCCAACCTAACAATTTAAAATTTGAGAAATTTGAATTGACTTATCCAAACAAAATATTTTAACAATGATAGAAATTGAAATCAAAGTAATTCAAATACCAAGAATTTAAAATTCCTTGAATTTGTAAAATTCTTCATCCAAACACACCATAATGCTTTTTTTTTTTTGTTTAGATTCTCTACAAGGGAAACAATAAATTTCCCATCCAACGTTTTTAACCCACACAATTTTTAAGTACTAACCACAAAATAAACCATTATCATTAGATAGAGGAGTCTTAACAATACACTATCCAACAAATTCATCTTAATACATTTATTTTTATTAGTTAAGATTCAACGAAAACTACAAAATTAAAAGACAATTTTTCAGGTATTTCACCAAGTTTATTTTTCATGATGGATGTGTTCAGCAATCATTACATAATTACTGTATAAGGTAAAAATTTAATTTTGTTTCCTTTCTATTTGAATTACTACATCTTTATAGCATTTTAATATTACACCTTATAAGTTAATTATAAAGTTTTTTTTTCCAGGTTAATGCATTAGCTCATATTATAGATGTTGATGTTTTCGAAACTGAGACATAATGCAATTTTTTTTTTTTTTTTTTCAGTCAATGATAACACACATAATGCACTTCAATATAACTGTCTTAAATGGAGTTGTTAGAAGAGGTGTATATATGACAGAACAATTTACTCAATCTCCATTGTCGAATGTCACAAATGGTAATTTATGAAGTCTTATTTCTTTTGATATAACTATATTATTTAATTTTATAATGTTTATATTTACCATTTCTTATTTGATTATCCTTTTTTATTTTGTTGTTTTATAGTTAAGATATTATCTAGCCAAATAGCAAACCGCACATCAAATCAAAAAATGTATTTGATGACATGTTCGAAGAATGTGAATCAAATCATAATAAACATGCATAAGGGAAAGGACCACAAAAATTAATATGGAACAATGGTAGATTAATAAGACCTTCAAAGCAAAATGTACTCATTGATGGTATATATGAAAATGTATCCACTACCGATTGTATGCCTTCAATATTGTATTTTATTTTAAGTTTCATATTTTAACCATTAATCTATTACATGAAGGCTTATTATTATTATTTTTTATAATAATAAATAGTTTATTGCGATATTGATGATCCTACTTGTGAGTGCCAAAAATGTAAAGCAATGATGTGGTATTCTAAGAGAGTGCAAAAGGGTTACAATCCAGCAAACCCTAGATTCTCTTTGTGTTACATGTTCTACTAAAGGGCAATTAGATACACCTAATGATGTTCATACCCTTAAATTCTTTAATATTATCACTGCTTCTGGACTTCCAAATCATGAGGTAAAATTGAAAGTTGGTGTTCCGATAATGTTGTTGAGAAATATAGATCAATCTTATGAGTTGTGTAATAAAACTAGACTTATCATAACTCAATTGGGTAAATATGCTTTGGAGGCAAAAGTGATATCAGACACCAATATTGGATAAAAGGTTTTTATTCCTCAATTGTCCTTAATTCTATCAGATAAGAGATTTTTTTTTCAAATTTTAACGTAGACAATTTCCAATAAATGTCTTCTTTGTCATGACAATAAATAAAATCTAGCAAGAACAATTATTGAAGCATGTTGTCATCTATCTTCCATTCTCACATGACCAATTATATGTCGAATATCTCGAGTCACATCTCACAATGGTCTGAAAAATCTTATTTGTGATAATGAGATAAATGATTTAACATCTATTACTAATGTAATTTATCAAAAAGTCTTTCAAACTCTGACATAAGTAACTTACATTTTTTTTAATAATATTATAAAAGGAAAACATGTCTACTTTAGTTCTAATTTTACCAATTTTTCAGGTATTTCACCAAGTTTATTTTTCATGATGGATGTGTTCAGCAATCATTACATAATTACTGTATAAGGTAAAAATTTAATTTTGTTTCCTTTCTATTTGAATTACTACATCTTTATAGCATTTTAATATTACACCTTATAAGTTAATTATAAAGTTTTTTTTTCCAGGTTAATGCATTAGCTCATATTATAGATGTTATATATATATATATATATATATATATATATATAAATAGATTTCAATCAAATTAAAAAAGTATATTTAAAATAATATATTAGAGTGTGTTGTTAATACTTAAATAACATAATAAACGATTTAAATATAAATTTATCGCCTGTAAAGTCCATCATAAGTTTTGAAATAATTTTTAAATTGCCCCACATAAAGTTGAGGCTATTGTATTTTAGAAAAAAAAAAAAGAACTTGAGTGAGGAATGCTCCAACGATCAAAATCCTATTACTATAGGGGTGCCAATTTGATGATTTAAATTATATTTGATGAGTAAATAATTTATTAATCTATTTACTATGTATTAGAAATGTATTTAAAAAATTAAGTAAAGTCATTAAAATATGCCATTTCTTTTTTATTAGATCTTTTACAAGTAAAATATAATTTCAATAACATACTAGTTTGTTATGCCATTAATTACTTATAGAAGAATTGAAATTTAAATTGTTATTATCAAGACCGGATAGGTAGCTAGACCATGGAGTCAATTCAAATCCAGAAGGGTGATAATTGATAGCCCGTAGAAAATTTCTCTCAAAACTTATCAACAAAGAATCTGTGTTATTTTAAGTCTAGTGGTATGTCCTATGACAAAGTAATAATATGATATAATAATATACTTGACTAAAGGGATATTTTAGTCATTTTAGCTTGTATTTTGGCTTTTGTTTATTTTTGGTCTATAAATAGAGTCACTTAATTTTCTTGAAGAGAGACAAAGAGCAATATAGTGAAATGAGAGAAGAAGAGAATTTTGAGTATATTACTTGTATGCTATCATTGTAATTTTATCATCAATAAAATTATTGTACGTATTCTTTTATAAGGATGGTTGACTAAACTATCCATGGTAGTTCTTAGGATATCTTAGTTATTTTATTTAACATATGTAAATATAATTTAGAATTCTGAACTCTTTTTAAGAAAATGATTTTGTAAAAACTTAAAGTTTGTAAACCTGAGTTCTTCAGGTGTGCCTTGATAAATACTTCTAATTTAAGGAAAGAAATAAGAAAGTAATATAGTTTGTCTGCAAGCTCAAATGAGGCAAAGACCTAAGGTATAGTGTTGTTATAAGACCTCAAAATTGTAAAAATATGCAGAAAGCTTTTAGTTTCTTGATTTCTTTTATCTGTACATAAAATCTTAACAAGATCCTACTTTCTCAATAAAAGAGTGTTGGTTAAGATAATGTCATTTTCTTTTTTATTAAATCCTTTACATGTAAAATATAATTTCAATAACATACTAGTTTGTTATGCCATTAATCACTTGTAGAAGAATTAAAATTTAAATTGTTATTATCGAGACAGACAAGTATTAGGACACAAAATCGGTTCAAATCCCGAAGGATGATACTTGATAGCGCGTAGAAAATCTTACTCAATAGAAAGCAAGTTTTCTCCTGGTGAGGTACGTATACAGTAGAAATCAAGTTAAAGAAAGTACGAAAAGATGTTCAACTGTAATTTTCAATTTTTTGGAACGGTCGCTTCTCCGGTGCTTAACACTATCCAGTGACTATAATCAAAGTAAAATAATGCCTTATCTAGTCTTTCCACAAGTGTGAGTTCTAGAAGCTTCAAACTCTAAAATGGCATATACAATTGCGACTGTCTACATTTTTGAAGCGGATCCCATATGAAACCTGAATATGTACAAAGGCTTAATTTTTTTCAATGCAGTCTATGAAAAAATGTATGAAGTTATCAATGGAAGCAGACCACAATAATTGGGAAATCAGGGAAAGTTGCTAGATATCAGTCAGAGTTAGAGATGAAGTTCAATCTTCATCTAATCGGAGAAGAATTCTTGCAATTCAGCTTGGTCCGTGCTCATTAGAAGAGGGAGTGAATCAAAAGTTTTAGTTCCTTTGAGCATATTCTGGTTTTTACTGTCCAAATAATCTACCTCAGACCACTGCTCTTCCTCGGTAAACTGCTCTTCAGTCCTGTTTTCTATCTTATCGCCTTCATGGTTATCACGTGTTTGATTTTGAGAATGGGAAATTCCCCCAATTTTTACCTCCGACTCTGATGAGTTTCGACATATGCAAGACGATGGATTCTCGTGAAACTCACCACTGCCGGGCCTCAACTCATTTGGCTCTCCCATAAAGCCTACCTGGTAAGTTCGAACTCGAGAGGCAAATTCCTCCCACGTTATATTATTTTTGTTCTTGAATAACACGTTCAACTTCTTTGCATTTGGGCGGATGGTGGGTTTATGACCTAAGTACCTCCTGCAACAGAGAACATATGAATAAATATGCGTAGGTAACATACTTGATTTTATCAGCATAAAGAAATATCGAAACAAAAACCAACAATTTCGAATAAATAACATGAGCACATGACAAGACGTAAAAGAATCTCTATTTTATGTTCAAATAAGCTAAAAGCTATTCATATCCAATCTCATGACTCTTCTTCCATGATAATTGCTTTGGATGGTCAATTTGCTGGGATTCAATTCTCTGTGTTACTTTAACACAAATGGAAAATAGTAGCCATGTATCTGGGCTAAATACCTAAGGTTATTGTTTGAATTAAGGTGGCAGTTCAAATAATCTTTTGAATTTAAATTGCTTTTCTACCAGTGAAGCAGCTTCTTACTTCCAGGTTCAGCTAGTGTAATATGACTTATATCCGATAAAAATGTAAGCACGGCACTAGAGAAGCAGCTTACCTTCTCCCAGCTAAAATTTTGGCCATGTTACCGTTATTGTTTGTAACAAAAACGTCACTGTCGTCACAAACTATGAAATCTAGTGCAGCCATGCGAGAAGAAAATGACGCAAATGGCGCCAACTCCTCCTTGGTAGCTATGGTCTCCTTTGAATGGAAGTTTGGAAAAAGAGCCTTGAGGGGAGCTAACGTTTCCTCACCTCCATATATTTCGCCAGATGCCACGTACAAGTGAACGTCTCTTCCAAAACCTAGTCCTCTTAGCATAAGACCAACTTCCTCTGGGGTAAGTGGGCATCTTCCATGTCTTCGAACTTTGTCAGGGTTACTTGGCTGTTTTCCATTCCCAAATAAAAATATATCAAATTTCAAACAAGCTAATAAAAGACGTGGAGCTGATTTCTTAAATGCTACTAAAATCTTACATGTAAATTTTTCCACCGTTTCCTAATTTCGCCAAGTTCTTTTTTTTCTTTATCTCCCCCTCCATAATAGCAACCAGAGAATGCAAGCATATCCGGTTCAAACCTATGTGATAAACATCAGTTTGAATCACAGTTTATCACATTGAACTTCGATAAGAAAAATGAAAAGAACTTTGCTTCACAATTACTAAATGCGAGTTAATTGGTACAACTTAAAGAAGCTGATTACAAATTCTAACGGTGATATGTGGCTCATGCTGCGTATTGCATTCTTTGTTGAGGAACTAAATGGCAAAGCAAACGAACCAGAAACAAAGGTTGGCTGTAATTATTAAATCTCACCTCAAATGTAGCGCAATGAAATGCTTACTTTTCATTTTCATCCGCTCAACTAACAATTTACCCATTTCCTGAATGCAATCCGTAAATTTGAGAGCATGGTAGTTAACCCTGCACCTCAGCCTTTGTAGCTCTTCATCCAACATATTAGCAAGTCTGTAGTCAAACTTAGTCAGCCGAACAATCTGCATGATTCAAGGAATTTAAGTGTCATCCATGGAATCAAGGACAACACCATAACGTACTTACTATTATTACAATAATTGGGTATTAGCAATTGTCGCATTATATCTTTGAAAAAAAAAAAATATTTCCTAAACACTACTCAGTAATTAACACAATTTCTTTATATATTTTATGGGACATAATGAATCGTACAAAATCTTTTCAAAACTATTACAACCGTTTGTTTTTCATTTTATTTTTTTAGAATATAAAATTTTAAGATAAGAAAATGTGTTTGAGCTCAAGTTTTAAAAAAAAATTTAATCTCATAAAATGTCATCTTCAATAAAAAAATTTAACAGGGTGTTATGGTTATGTTTTGTATTTATTTAAGAAGAATATATTTATATTAAAGAGGTTGTTGTTTTATTAGTTTTTTTTAGTGTATTTACACACAATTTTACATTGATTTAATATTGTCTATTTTGAATCTAAATAGTAATTAATGATTTTGTTTTTAATAATCATCTAAAAAAGCCTTTCACCAATGGAGTATGTATGTTTTACAAACTTTTATTTATCATTTTATTCTAATTGTGTGAGACTTAATTTGTATCTTAATACTAAATTTTTACACGCAATAATTATCTTTTGTAAATTTTAGTATTTTAGAATTCTAACATGGGTGACACCACGATATAAAAACAATTTTTATAAATATAAGAATCATTCAATAAAAAATATTTAATTTTTAACAAAACAATTCTAAATAAAAAAGATAAAAAAAATGTGGTCTATAAAAAATAAATGAATAACCCAAGTTTAATTTTTCTATCAAAATAAAAAATAAAAAAATGCTGAGATCCTACTTGACATTGGAGAACCTACCATTAAAAATTCAAAATAAGTACCATTGGATCCAATGTATTTGGCCAAACTTATAGCATGCTTATTGGTTAGTACTTGATAGTTACTACATTAGTTACCTAGCAAGTTGGGCTCTAAACATTGGACGAAAAACAACTGAGAGTGAGCAATTGTGGAACGCAAGCAATTGATGCAAATAATTTTGATGAAAGTCTACTACAACTGAGGATGCAATTAAAGACTTACACGCTTCTTGACTAGCACGGGTAAAACACGATTCTCATAGCACTTAGGGGTGCATTTCCTTGGAACCCGCAGCGTATATGGAGCCACAAAATTTTCGCCCATATTCGGAAGGTGTTTTATAATTCTCACGTCATTCCGGAGAAACGTTATAAACCAGTCTGCATCAAATAGTTCAGAAAAGTTGCTGCAAAAAATAGCACATATTATATTACAACTTAAGAGATGGAATTGTGGAAAGACGATGAATTTTTCTTCCAATAAAAATATCATATATGATTCCAGATGACTGATTGAAATGCAACGCAAAGACATACCTGGTGTCTTTCCAGAAAGATGTATGATCCAACTCTGGAACAACAAGAGTAGCATTCAAGAGATATGCAGCCACCACGGCATCAATTATCTGCAGCCATGACAGCATTATATGATTAAGAGATACTACTTCAACACCATCAGTAATCCAGTCACAGAAATTAGCCCTGAAATGACTCAAATTTGTACCCCTAAGCCCTAAATCACTCATCAAATTGGTGTCTGATTGAGCTTTTGGCCTGATAGCCCAGACAAAACCCGTATATCAAATTACCAATCTGTTTTTGTTGAGCACCCTTTGGCCATTACAGGAATTTCAACCATTGTTTCTGTGAACAATCTCGTGGCCTCTCCTTACAGTTAGAGCCATAGCATGTATCATATTTCATGATCATCATTCATCATTAATAAAGAAAGAGTAATTTTATAATACTTCCAATGGAATTGTACTTATGGAAAGAAAAGAACCATTCATGGTCAAACAATATTCTTGGTAGCACAGAGGCAGAGGTAAATCTTCGTATACGTTTACATCTGATTGATATTAAATCAATGCTACAGTTGTCTGCGGATGAAGAAACTTACCCCTGTTCTCTGTTGATTTAAACCTCCACTGGTGGCAATTAATAAGAATCGATCTGGATGCGTTTTGTCATTAGCCTCTGCAAGTGCAAGAATTAAGTACTTACGCAATTAAATTACAATTTGATTTAATTTAAAGTCGATATTAAATTCGTAAAGTGGTTGCGAAAAGCGAAGGAAGATCGGGCGGGATTAGCTTTACCTGTGAAATTGACACCGGCGTTACTGCAGCCTGAGAAAAGGTACGAGTGCATTGAACTCCATGCATCACGCCTGCAACTACCTCCACTCGCCTTCAAAGGAAAGATAAGCAAAATAAACATTATAAAATGCACAAGCAGAATGGCGGTTGCATTTCATTGAATAGCTTACCGGAACACGAAACGCCGAACCCTGATGTGATTCCAATAGTGATCTGATTTGACCGTTGGACTGAGTGTACCGCAAAACAGCGCAGAGCAACGCAACGCAACGCAACGCAACGAAGGAAGATTGATTTTAGTGAAAGATTAAAATAAAGAGTAATGAAATAGAACCGAAATGATTGAAGTGGATTTGCAATTACCGGAGGCGGAGCGAACAGAGAGAGCACGGGGAAGAGCAGAAGAAGGCAAGTAGCGGTAGCGGAGATGAGAGTGCGGTGGAGGAGCCGACTCCGAAGGAAACTCGCAATGAGGAGTCCGATTATTCTGGATTTCTCGGTGTGCGCGTGGTGCTTCTTTCTTCTCATTGTCATTGGCATGCCTATGGACATTGTTATTAATGGTTACGTACCTTGCACCGAATTTCAGTAATATTTACGTTGCTAATTACTATTGATTGCATGTGTCCGCAGCAACGACGCCGTTTCTCCCATTTTCCATTTTGTCACCTTCTTTCGTTTGCAACGGAACAGACTCTTTCTTTTCTTTTCTTTTCTTTTCTTTGAAGAAGAAGAAGGTGATGAAGAGGACGACCTTTCAACAAAAACCAACGCAACAGCACGTAACTCTCTCATGTGCTGACACCCGTAGATGATCAAATATATTATCAGCCGTTGATTTGGTCCCCGTACTTATCTAACCCAATCGTTTAAATCCTCATCATACTTATAGTTCCAACCTCCAACTAATCCCATTGCTTTGTCACCAAATCACAATTCGGATTAAGTTAAGCTCGCGTTAATTCAGTGTTTAACGTCCAGTACTTGGTTTGGTTTGGTTGTCCAAGTTTGATTCAAGTCAAATGTGTACAATCAATTCCATCACTACAAAACTGATAATAAAAATAAAAATACAGTACATTCGCTAAATATGGAGTGCATGGCAAGTTTCTTGGATGCTTGACTCCAACTAATTAACCAGCGGATTCTTTGGCTAAATTTGGAATTCAAAGTCTGTTAAAAGTGTCGTTCTCTTACATATTCTTTCCCTGCTTTTGGGTTGGAGCAAATTCTTACTGGCAATTCTGTTATAGGAGTTTGTTTTTTTTCGTACGCCACAAAAACGTGGCCACGGGGTCTTTTCATTACTCTCACATTCTCTTTTTAATTAGAATTTATAAATATTAATTAATCTCGTCTTATTAATTAAAGATCATCATGATCAAGATTCATGAAGACGTGAATGTGAAACACTGAAACATGCGTATATCATTCTACTTACTTACACCGATTAAATTAACACAAGATCCTTGTACATGCGATTTTAATTGATTGTACTTACAATTAAATCAAGCATTTTAGTAAAATAAATGAATATACAAAACTAATAAATTTTCAAAAGGACTAGTTTACATTTTAACCAACTTTTTCAAAAGAACTTTTAAAAAATAATAATTTTAAAAACTATCTTAAGCTTGTACTAAGAATTTTAATCATATTCATTGCAATAACAGTTATTTCCTTCATTGGTTCTGTAATATTAAGATTAAAATTTATTCATAGGAAAAAAGGAGGTTTCTTAAGGAATACGTGGGCAATGGCAACAAGTAACCACGACATACATTGATTGACGAGCGTTTAAGGCACAAATTCTTCTTTCTCCCGCTTAACTTTATTAGTACTTACTTATTTTGCATTTCCATCAAAAAACTGGTTGCTCTTTACTACTCTTCACGTGTATTTCATGTGGTTGCATGACCTCGATCGCTCTCGCGTTTCATTCCTCTTTGTTACGGCTACGAAACGAAAATTGTTATATGTAACTGCATGGAGGAGTTAAAGGACAAGCTATATCTATGAAAAAAGATGGAATTACTGAAGAGTGAAAATGATCAAGTTGGTCTTGCAAGATTTTACTAATTGTTAATAGTTCTTAATCTAGTGTAGCCTTGGAGGTCCTCCCGAGATTTATGCATTATTTGTTTGAGTAGATTTAGAAGAGAGAAAAGTAAATCAAAAAGAAGTGTGAAAGAGAACATATATTTTAATTATTGGTTGTTTGAAAAAGAAGAGAATTGATGAGATCCATGTTAAAAAAATCATCTCCAAAAAGAGTGAAGAAATTGATATAGAGAAAATGCATGAAAAAAAGTCTGGACCTGTCAAATAAAGTAAAATGATAAATTTATCTTTTTATTTTATAGTGTAAATATAATATTAGAGATGATTTATCAATGATTTAAATATGTTTTTAATTTCTGTAAAATGAATGAATTTTTATTTTGATCTTTTGTAAAAAAAATTCCTTTATTTTTTATTCTTTTAAAATTTGTAAACATTATTATTTTTAGTCTTTCTAAAATGTGCAAATTTTTGTTTTAGTTAAGTAAAATGTTTTTCTTTGATTTTCATCTCTCTAAATTTTAAAATCATTATTTTTTGTTCCTAGTAATCATTTTAAGGTGTATATATATAACACTTATTTTAATACTTTATAAAAAAAAATTAAAAAGTATTACATATAGACAAAATTTCACAGACAATTGTGGGTACTACTTATTCATATAAACTTTTAATGAATATAACTAAAAAGTCACATATTCATCTTATACAAACAAAAAATATATTTAACTTTTATAAATTCACCTTGAGTTCGAAATAAAAGGTTACAATGGAAGCATGTTAAACATTGGTATTGTGAAATTTGAAGTTTTACTAGACATTTCAATAAACTTATGTGCAATCAACCACATGTTAATAATAATTTGTATATAATCACATATATTTTTATTAATTATTTGTAAGATAAAATTAATTAATTTTACGCATGTAGTTAACACCATGTGTTAGCTAATTACCTCGTAACCCTATTAACCATTTGTAACCCTAAACTAATTAATCATTATATAACATTTTATCAAGCTCATGACATTATTTATTGGAAAAAATTGATTATGTATTATCGGTGTAAGATAATTTTACACGATTATCCAATTACAAAATATTACATATGATGTGTATGTTGACTTTTATAATAACTCTTTTAAAAATCACATCAATGATGATTTTTAATTAGTTGAGAATGTAAAACTTTTCACGTTAATAATGCATGACTATTAATAATTATATATCTATACTATTAATAAGGATAATATGTACATATTTTGTTGATTATTTGCTGTTCAAAAAAAAAAAAAATTTGTTGACTATTTTGTTCTTTAACTTCTAAAACATTCTCTCTCTCATATTTTTTTATTTAGTTTTTTTTTTCTTACTCATTTATAAATTTATATTTCAAACTTCTCACACCCTTTAAATAACTACTTAAAACTGCTCACACTCTTTAATTGTTAACTACACATATTTAACTTCAATTATTTTTATCATTTATTTTATTTTTAAATTTTTTTAAAAATACATGGAAATACAAAGTACTTTTTTTTAATGTTAGTATGAATAATTACATATCAATAGTTATATATAATGAGATTATTATTATATATAATTAGTTATATATTATTGGTTTCTATACTTTATCTTTGGATACTTTTACCTCTATTTTTTTATTATTATTATAATCATCTTTTTTCAAAATCTTGTGTGGAGACACAAGTAAGGCTCACGTAAAATGATATAAAACATATGAAAAGCTAAATTTTAACTTTAGATATCTTAACTAATAGGAACGAAAGCACTTAACCAACTGAATTACAATCTAATAGGAAAGTACTTAAACAACTGAATTACAATCTAATTGACTAAATTATAAAACAACGTTAACTATATTTTTACAAGCATTTAACAACATACTCCAAATAGACGTGTGGTGTGTGATACTTTTTTTTTCCATTTGCTGTAAAGAACCAATCACATTAATTTGTACTATATTGCATGGATTATTTTCTAACGGGAAGCAAATGAACAATGCAAAACATAGATTTTGTCTCAAACAAATGAAACAATGACTCAATTTATTTATTTTTTACATATTTGAATTCGTTTATATGTTGTTGTATGCATACAGGGATACATATATTAAGTTAACTAGTTTTTTAGTAAGTAAATTTCACATGCTAAATATTTATTATATATTATTAAAATTTATAATAAATTATATAATAATAAATATTAAAATGCGGATGTTAATTGTGTTTCTGTTCTGGTGCGGGTTCGGGCGTTTATGGATGCCTTTCAGAGTTGCGATGTGCATGATAGCAATTTGGTTGCTGACATATCTGATTTCTTGGAGATGCTTCTTCACTGATCAAATGGGCCCATCCTCCAGCTAAATTGTGATGTTGCGGTTGATCTCGATTCTAGGAAATTAGCTATTCGGGGAGTGTTGCGTGATCATTGGTGTAACACCTTCAAAATCATAACATCATATATAAGTAGGTATGTGATTGATTTGTTTATAATTTAATTGTTTTAAAATAGAATAATATGTGTTTTAAATAATTAAATATAATAAATAATTTATAATTGTTTTTTATAATATTTTTAAAATTATTAATAATTAATATTTCAACTCTTTAACAATAATATTTGATTTTTTTTTTATAATTTAAAAAATAATATTGATGTTTATAATAATGACTCATTCCCTCATATTGGTTTTAGTATTGAGAGTCAAAAGTGAAACCAAACTAATTTTAGTTTGATATTTTATTAAATAGAAATAAGTTGTATAATTAAATCATTTTTTTACTCAACTTTCTATTTGAATTTAAAAATTATTATTATTTTTGTTATTAATTATATATGAAGAGGAATCTTTTTATTTCAGAAGTAAATCTATTTACTCCGTTTAATAACATCACATTAATTTGTACTATATTGCATGGATTATTTTCTAACGGGAAGCAAATGAACAATGCAAAACATAGATTTTGTCTCAAACAAATGAAACAATGACTCAATTTATTTATTTTTTACATATTTGAATTCGTTTATATGTTGTTGTATGCATACAGGGATACATATATTAAGTTAACTAGTTTTTTAGTAAGTAAATTTCACATGCTAAATATTTATTATATATTATTAAAATTTATAATAAATTATATAATAATAAATATTAAAATGCGGATGTTAATTGTGTTTCTGTTCTGGTGCGGGTTCGGGCGTTTATGGATGCCTTTCAGAGTTGCGATGTGCATGATAGCAATTTGGTTGCTGACATATCTGATTTCTTGGAGATGCTTCTTCACTGATCAAATGGGCCCATCCTCCAGCTAAATTGTGATGTTGCGGTTGATCTCGATTCTAGGAAATTAGCTATTCGGGGAGTGTTGCGTGATCATTGGTGTAACACCTTCAAAATCATAACATCATATATAAGTAGGTATGTGATTGATTTGTTTATAATTTAATTGTTTTAAAATAGAATAATATGTGTTTTAAATAATTAAATATAATAAATAATTTATAATTGTTTTTTATAATATTTTTAAAATTATTAATAATTAATATTTCAACTCTTTAACAATAATATTTGATTTTTTTTTTATAATTTAAAAAATAATATTGATGTTTATAATAATGACTCATTCCCTCATATTGGTTTTAGTATTGAGAGTCAAAAGTGAAACCAAACTAATTTTAGTTTGATATTTTATTAAATAGAAATAAGTTGTATAATTAAATCATTTTTTTACTCAACTTTCTATTTGAATTTAAAAATTATTATTATTTTTGTTATTA